TTACATCACACCATACTCTACCTCTGTTCCGAATTTTTATTATAAAATGGAGTAACTTCTCCCGTTTTCCCAATATTTCCCTTCACTGCTCTGCTCCTATTGATCGTAGCGTAATGAAAAGTATACTATAACCTGCCCAAGAGTATGAAGAATAATTGTGCCAAATTTCGTTAAAATCCGTCGAGTAGTTTTTGTTTCCATAACGAACATACAGACAGACAGACAGACAGACAAAAATTTAACTGATTACATTTTTGGCATAAGTAGCGATCCCTAACCACCCCTTGATAGTTATTTTTTAAATATATTTTATGTACAGAATTGACCTCCCTACAGATTTATTATAAGTATAGAAGATAGATTTCTTAAAAGAGTAGCTAAATATATTTCAAACTTTTTAGCTCATCAGCTCAAAATAAAAATAAAAGCTTGTTTTTATAAAAAGTTTTTTTTTCTATAATTTTATTTTAACTTTTTACATAACATAACATCCCGCCGTATGAGTAGGCAGAGGTGCAGATTATGCCACTGTACAATGTAACACCCACTTTTCACTATCTAAATTATGAGTCCCATGTAATAGGAGGTGAGCCTATTGCCATATACCAGGCACAATTTCAGACTCCATGCTATTACTGAGATTTTTTTTAAATCCTGTAATACTTTGCCCGACCCGGGAGTCGAACCCGAGCCCCCTTGCCCGGTAGTCGCACTTGCGACCACTCGGCCAACTAGGCATTCCAAGCCGTTTTAAGTTTTTAGTATTTTCAATAAGAGTTAAGTGTGGGAGAGCCGTACTTTGGCACGAATGGGTCGGCTCGACCGGAGTGATATCACGGCCTCACAGAACACCGAGCGACGTGAAACAACGCTTGCGTTGTGTGGAGTGAGGTTACCGGAGGCCCAATTTATACATGCATGCAAAAATTGTATAAAGGAGGCCCTTAAGACAACTTTAATGCGCAGTTGACTTTGGCCCCTCGTACGCCTCACAAATGACCGGGACCCTGCGGTCCCGTGTATGGTAAAGACATACATAATAATAATTATATAGATAAAGTTAATAAACAAAACTGAATCACAAACGATTCCCTTTCCGCGTCCATTTGTCAGTTTGAATGCTACTCCAAAGCTACTGGACAGATTTTAGTAGGAGTGGAGGGTGGAAAGCTATAGTTATTTTATAATTTTCTAGTAGGAGGTAGATTTACTCATTTCTTCATTGTGTAATAAAATATAGATAAAGCCAGAAGCAAGGCGTGTCGACCCATCAATTCCGAGACGAGGGTTCGAGTTATACGACCTGGGGGCTAACAGCGACACCTGGATATGCGTGGTTGTGCCCGGGTGTGGAACTCGAGACTTAACGTAAGTGTCCACCAACAGTACAAACACCACCGTAAATTAAATCTCAAAGATTCTACTAATAAATAAAAGATCAGTTCTAAAGTAAAACCGAATCAACTTGAGTACCTAGGTATAATGTACTACTAATTTCTTCATACAGTTACTTTTTCTTTTTTTATCAGGAGCCTACTGAATCACTCGATAGTAGCACACGCTTGTGGAACAGGTAACATGCAGGACGGGACCCACGTTTTAGACCGCACACCGGAACAGCCACTCGGACTCATGGCAGGAAATGATGTTTATACCTCCTTCAGAGCATTCAACTTATCGTATCATGATACTGGCGTTTTCGGTGAGATTGGTTGATTGGAATTTTCGGAACTTACCTACTTAAATGACGAAAGATAATGAAGAAAATATTTTTCAGGTATAATAGCAAGAACTCGTGCCCCTACGGCTTGGAACGTAACAAGAGCAGCCGCACAATTTTTGTGTAATGTCGGATGTCTCACCTATAACCAGATAGAAATTGGTAAAAAGAGACTTAGTAAGTATTTATTCAACTTCTCAATTTGTATGTTGATTACGTTTTTGGTTCAGACAGTTCATGGATCTCGTTTGTAGTTTTGGGTCCCAACGTCCCAAGCGAAGCTCATTATGTCTTATATTTTTTAATGTCACGTATCTTCTTAATTTTTAATACAGAAGTCAGTTTAGCAATCCATGATGATGACTGCGTGAGAGTGGCCGAGGGACTAGCACTACAGCTAGCCAACGGTTATATAGTGGACACCGCGAAGGAGTCAATGGCTATGATTGATAACATCTCTATTGAAGATGTATCAAAGACTGCAATGTCTTTGTCTCGTAAATGTAAGTATCAATTTCCTTTTTGGCAGCAAGTAATGAAATAATTATGATTGTGAAGTTATTTTACGTTACATGTCTTGTATTATTTATTTTTAGATCGAGATATGGCTCTTGCTGTTGTGGGTGACATTGGAAGGGTACCTCATGACAAAGAGCTTTTTTGGACACATTGAAGAGTATCATACAATTTTGTATTTAATTTTAGAAGGTCGTTTTTTTATTCTGAAATAAATGATATTAGATATCACGGAAGTACACGTCATTATTAATACTACTTATTATAAAATTAATATGTTTTCTCGAATCACACATAATTAAAAGCCTTGAGTTTGATTTGGCCATTAAAAAGTTACTGTCATACGTCAGTTCTACCAGCTAATGTCAATTGTCAGTGTCAACGTCAAAGTCAAATTATAAATTATAACCTAAAATTGTATAATAGATATTACTTAGCTTATTTACATTTAATAAAATAAAACATAGGTATACCATTATTCCGACACAAATTATGTAAAATACAAAAAAACAGAAAGAAGGCATCGAGATGAACTCCCTTCACAACACCATAAAACGTATGTACTAAAGTTTTTGAGGTTATATTTTACTCTAATTTTGTTTGTAAACCATTTTACTTATTTCATTACAGAATTCCGTCTTCTAAACCTCAACACGGCATTAAAGACAATTTCTGAATGCAAGCCTATTATTCCTAATGTAAAAGTTAAGAATGACTTGGTTTGTAAACAAAATGTCCTGTCATTTGCACCACGAAGTGTTGGTGTTGAAATAATTGATAGGCGCAAATATAATGGGATAAAACAGGACCCGATACCTTACATACCTATTGTGAACCCTCGGTCCATCCTCCCACTGCTGGACAAGGAGTGGAGGAAGGATGAGATAGGGCTGCCATCTATTCAGCAAGATGAGATTCAAGCTGCGAGGTTGATTGTCATTAGGAGGAAGAAGATGAAGAAACATCAGAGAAGGAAGCTGTGGAAGAAGATGCGGTACACTTGGGCTAGGGTTAGTATCTCTAATAATGTTATCTCAGTTTTGTATTTCATCAATTAAAATGCAGTTGAATTTTTAAACTTACGGCATTTTCTTATTGGAATATTACATTGTTTTTATTGTTTATCTGAATAAGAGATTGAACGGCAGATTGACTAACAATTCCATTTTGACGTTTCAATAGTGCATGATTAAGGAATAAACTAAAGAAATGCTTTTGTTTATTTAGGTTAGGACTTTGATTTTAAGCAAACACAATGTAAACAATGTTGTACTTATTATGATTATAGAGTAATATTTGCAAGCTTAGTAAACATCATATACACAACTTACACAAAGATATACAAGTACAGAATGTTAAAATACTAAAAACAGCACTAAAAATAAATTATACATACCTTAGAAACTCATTTATTCTTCAAAAATTTACAGGTAAAGCAGCACCGTCGTCAAGCCAAAGAGAAGAAATTCCAGAACTCTCTATTGGCTATGGTAAAGGAAGCCAATGAGTTCCAAGCTGAGCAGTATGTCGCTGACAAGATCCAGAAGGCCAACCACACTCCGCTCCCAACTCGCTGGAAACACAAACGTTTGCCAGAGTTCCTCATCCGACAACTGCTGGGTATTGACAAGAAGATTAATTATAAGCACACCGATGTTTACAAAGCTTGATTAGTTTGTTCAATTTTAATGTAATATTAAAGTAGTTTTATTTAACGGGAGTTTATTTATTTAATTAGTAGATTCTTATTAGAAGCTTTACTGATAAGTCAGTTTGTATCTTCAAGTATTATTGGATGAACTGGAAACTAGCTTTTAGGGGAATGACTAGGGTGTGTGGGGTTCTTATGTCACTGAAATTACCTTGGTGGCTACCATTACCACTATTAACCTGTGGTATGTCGGAACACAGACCTATGTGAGACAAGGTGTTTTCTATTGTGTCTCGTATACCAGCAGACAAGGGGATACAGGGTCCTCATAATAGACAGAGGCCAATATACTACTGGAGGAGCAATGAGAAAAGTTATTGGAGACAGGTATGTAAATATTTTTGACTGAAGTTGTATCAGTTCATAACATGATATTATGTTCTGCTAACTGATCAGTGCCATTTTTTCACAATGGTAGCACATAAGCGCAATAGGAGTTGCTAATGGGTTGCCGTCATGTTGGGGTTCGCGCCTCCTGTAATTTCACTTACAGCGCGAAACACAATAATCATAATAATTTTAATAACCTTCGCAACGTAAAGTAAACAAAACGATGCGCACGCATGTGATAGTCCTGTAGAGTCCTAGTTTAAAACTTGTGACATTGACTTCTTATCTATCAGTGGGAGGGTAACTTATCAGTACGTATTACTAATAGTAATAGTACAGCTATATTTTTGCTTTTTAGTTTTCACCTTTTGTTTGTTTTTAACTTGACTGCCTCGTGGCCGAGTGGTCGCAAATGCGACTGCCGGGCAAGGGGTCTCGGGTTCGATTCCCGGGTCGGGCAAAGTATTACTGGGGTTTATGAAAATTCTCAGTAGTAGCACGGAGTCTGGAACTGTGCCCGGTATAAGGCAATAGACACACCCCCTATTACATGGAACTCATAACATAAATAGTGAAAAGTAGGTGTTACATTGTACAGTGGCATAATGTGTACCTTATGTTTATTTTTAATGTTTGGATTTTGGAGTCTGTTTTTTAAACGCCACATTTATTTATAGTTACGTTTTAGGTAGATAGGTACATAACTACATATACATACATAGCGGGTTCGTAAAATAAATCGTAGCACTAATAACATCATGATTAGATCAAATAGTTTTTAGTATTCATTAGTGTTAAAGTAGGTACCTATCTAATATTATTATATTATTAGCTTTTTGGTTCCCTTCCGGTATAATTATGTAGGTCTACACTCTACAAAGTCTATAACTTTACGATGAATCTTTATTTATGTAAAAGTTACCTACGAATAGTGATTGATTGATTAATACCTAGGTACCTAGGTACGCTACATAGGTAGCTAGCGACTGACGACGCAATCACTCCCCAGAATGCGGATTATTTAAAACAAACGACAAACGATATTTCTTTCCTAAGTAGGCGTTTCTTTGTGATTTATTATTGGACTTAGTTTAACAAAAAAATGTATATTTTGCGCGTATTCATCAGAGCAAATCAAAATAACATTAGATCGGGTGGAGTTCCTGTTACAGCGGTCAATTTGAAAAGTAAATACCTAAATAATAGGTGTAAATATTATAGTAGTACTACTAGTAGTAATATTTACCAATTGTACTGTATTTAGTAACTAAATACAGTAATAAAAAGTAACGGTTTTGAAGGCTTCTGTCATCGTGTCTAAAACCATGAAGGCATTTCGGTAGTCACTCGAGCGCGTCAGATTAACATATAGGAAAAACCTAGTGTCATGTTGATGGGCTCGCGCTGCTATCGCAGCTGTAAGTCCCCTCTTTGAGGAGTGGCTTGAGAGACGCTACGGCGTCCTCACCTACCGCCTGACGCAGGTCCTCACCGGACATGGAAGTTTCGGGAGGTACCTGTGTCTGATGGGGCAGGAGGAAACGCCCGGAGGACCACCCTGAGGACACGGTGGAACACACGGTGGGAGAATGCCCTGCGTGGGCTGAGCACCGCCGTGCCCTCAGGGAAGTGATCGGCGATGGCGACCTCTCGCGTCCGGGCCTAGTGCAAGCCATGATGCGGAGCGAGGGGGACTGGGATGCCGTCTCCTCCTGTTGCGAAGCAGTCATGCTAGCTAAGGAGGAGGCGGGACGCGTGAGGCAGCGAAGCGCTGCCTCCTCGCAACCCAGCCATCGCGAAGGACACACCGGGCGTCGGGGATCGCGAGACGATCTCCGGCCACCGTAAGCGCGGGCCTGTGGACGGCGAGCATGGGTGGCTCCCCGTCCGACCAGAAACAGACCCGAGCGTACGGCGCGTCGCGTTCCGCGCGCGCCTCAAAGAGCCATCAGACCACCACAGATGGGGCCCAATAGGGCCGATGCCGATTCGGAGTCGCGGAGAACCTAACGGGTAACCGGGGCTCCGGCTCGACGTGCAGGAGAAGGAACGGGGTGGTTTTTAGTCAGTAAGAGTCTGACACTCCCTCCCGCCTCACCCAGGCGGGAGCAGTCATTTGATGATTTTCCCCCCTTAAAAAAAAAAGTGTCATGTTGAATATACCCACCATATATACGACCTGATTAGAAGGGGGGACTAAAAAATAAAAAAAAACTGACTAAATAAAGTCACTTTCATCAGATTAAGGGTAGATAGGTCAATTGGTACCTTCTTTTAGGTGTGAATTTGCGAAATTTACCTATCTTCTTAATCGTCAAATATCTCCTGTTAGATCTTAATTTTATGGATTGGTCCCAAACTGGTATAAAACAGATCGGGAATATGATTAGCGTTGCGATCTCATGGGATGGCAAATCCATGTCCAGGGAGGAACACAGATAGAATACGAAATAGGTTTAAAAACATCGATATTTTTGTTTACATCGCTACGCTCCGTTGGTCTCGTGGCCCGACCTTCGATATTTAGGTCGCTTCCCTGTCAAACGCTTTATTTTTTTCCATTTTAACGGACTTAATTACAAATTCGGAGTTTCATTGACATGGATTAATGACACCCTTGTATTTCAAGTCGATGGTTTTGTTTACATATTTTTCGTATGACTAGCTCTGTATTACCTAACGTAGGTACCAACCTACCTACCTAATTGTTTGTTGTTGATATTTTTCACTTGGGTTACATTTCCTGAAGGATTTTTTTATGTATGGACAAACCTTGGTATCTAGCGTTATTAAGATTTATTTACAATATTTTTCTACGTTTCCTTCAGCGTGAGGCCCTGGGGCCCAAGTTTATTAACTATTGAGGCCCAGGGGCCCACTCATTAACAAGCTTAATGAACCTGCAATTCTCGAAAGAATAATGAATTAACGAAAAATGACACTTGGTAGTAATTATTTTGTAGACTTACCAAAGATTTTTTAATCTAAACAGGCTTTTTAATCCAAAATTCCAAACTAAACACTATCTACAAAAGATCTTATTAAAACCTGAAATATCTAATGATTTTAGGCATTTCTTTAATAAAAAATGCCTTGTCAGGTGTTGAAACTCCAATTACACGAAATTCTAAGTACCTACCTACTTGAAGCATCATCAAAGTACGAGTAAAATATAGAAATATCAGGAGCTAGACAATCAGACAGTCTCATTATACAGCAGATGGTTGGAAGTGAAAGGAGTTCAAAGCTGCGTTTATCTACAGCGCACGCTTCACGGAGCCCTTTGACAACCAGCCGACGATGCCGTCTTTACGAGTCTAAGTACAATCGATAATTTAAGTTTGAGGGATTTTTCTCAGATTTGGGGTGCTAGCGTTTCGTGTTTTGGTTTATTTAGATAATAATTGAAAATGTTGTTATTTTACTTAGTAATTTTCTCGTATTGTGGTCGTAAATTCTGCTGTTTGTAACCTTCTAGGTTTGATTGAACTTTAGTTAAGAGTTAAGTGTGTAAGTTAAGTGTCGTGGTGGCCCGGAGGTTTAAGACTTCTCATGCATGAGGGTGCAGGTTCGAAACCTACCAACGGCAAGTACCAATGTGACTTTTTCCGAGTTATACGTACTTTCTAAAATTATTTAGACACCACAGACAAGCGGTGAAGGAAAAACATCGTGAGGAAACCTGGACTTATAATTTCCAATTATAAGTTTGAAATCGCCAACCCGCATTGAGCAAGCGTGGTGATTAATGCTCAAACCTTCTCCGTGTGATAAGAGGCTTTGCTCAGCAGTGGGCATTTATAGGCTGTTGATGATGATGAAGAGTTAAGAAAAAAATAGGTATTTTGGTTATTTATTTATTCACTCTGTAATGCACACAAAAATAAGGTATATTCATAAAGCGGACTTAATGCCATATCGCATTTTATCCCAGTCAACCTTTGGGTTAAGTAGAATATTGGTTTCTAATAGGTACATTAATGTGGACGATCTGTGACTGAAAAAGTCAAATCTGAAATTCAGCTAATTTCTTAAACCCAGGAATCGCACTTGAACTTCTTTACTCAGTGAACGCGCTTGGAACTACTAAAACACCACTAGATCAGTTTCAAAGCCTAGACTAGCAATTAAATAAATAGGTCGATTCATTATTTTCTCAGTAACAAGAACTCACACTCATTGACAAACAAATAGCCTCCTAGCCAACAGTGATTAATCAATCTCACAATTTCGTATAAAATCCCTATTCCAAACTGTATTTACAGGCTCGAGCATTAAAATACCTACAATTTAAACTCCCATTTATCAACACTGCTCCGCCCGGGGCCATTCATTTTGTTTTTATTCGATACATCTCGATGAAATCCGCGATAGTTCGTGTTGGCGTCCAATTTCCTGGCGAGGGCGACCCGCGACCACCCGTAGCGACCCGGCGACCACCAGCCCGCCAACCCGCCGACCCGCCAACCCACAACTTACACACGAACGCTCGCAATTCGATTCTAACGTTTTTTACGACACTCCTCGGATATAAGAATGTTTATTACGCTATTACTTATGAATATTAATCTCTGAATCTTATTCCTTTTCTGGTCTGCTTTTTAATAGGGATTAATGCTGGAGTTTTAGTGCTTTTGGCATTTTATTTTGTGTTCCATTATTACATCGAGCTTT